CTGGATATCCTTTCCTCTCTTGGATTACACGTTTTTACCTTGATATGCCAGCATATTTTGGCCATTATTTGATGAGAACAAGATTCCAAATCAAATCTTATATTATTTCTATTATTTATTTATTTAATTTTGCATTTTAATGAATAAAATATCAAAATAAATTACATGAATAATATAATAATTCATGGGTGGACTTAGAGGTCGTGGACCATGTTAGAAACAAGTTTCAAACATGAAAAGATGGGCCCATTTGGAAAAAAAATCAAGTTTGGTCAATATTGGCTTCATGCACTTTTCCAAAAATTGGTCAATTTTAGCTATGCATAGCTCTCTCATTTTTAACCCTAAGAGGGTGTTCTTTGACTTTTTAAATAGCTTAGGATGTCCTCTAAACAACCCTTTTGGTTTCATCTCAATTGGATTTTCCATGTTAATGTAAGGAGCTTTGACCCAAAAGGTGTTTTTGTTGACTTTTTGAAAGGACCTATAATGTCTGAGCTTGTATCTTTTAACTGGGACATTTCTTGAACTTGAGAGATGAAGAGAAGTTGTAGGGAATTGGATTCTCTTCAAAATGAGCTTTGTTGTAAAAATTTATGATAAAGTATGAGAAAGTTATGCCTGGTCAAAGTTTGGTTGACTTTTCCTATAGAAACCCTAATTTGCAATTTTTGACTTTTGATGAGTTAAAAGCATTTCTTGAGGAATCATGATAAACCCTTGATCAAATGATGGATATCACTTAAAAATGTTAATGTTGACCAAAAATGTTGATGTTGACCAAAAATGTTGATGTTGACCAAAAATATTGAAGTTTGTCTGTATATAAGTCACAGTTGACTTTTGACCTAATATAGTTAATTTTCAGGCATTTGAGCAGTTGACTGAGCAAACTTGTTGTGTAGGACATGAAATTTGGCATGAATAACCTTGAGTACATATTAGGGCCATGTAAAAAATTTTAATCAACCATCTTGATGAAAATTGAAACCCTAGTTAGAGGTTCATTGCCTTAGGAGGAGAACTTGCCTGGTCAATTCTTGGTTTTCTATGGGCAAGATGGGAATCTCAATAGGTATGTGTTGAGTAAAATGAGAGAGAAAATTTTGGGGTACAACACCAGGCATGTCTTGATAAGACCTAGAAAAGATGTCAACATATTTCTTCAATAACTCAATCAACTTTCTCCTCACACTGGGATGAAGCAGTGCCTCAATCTTGAATTCTTTCAAATCTTCCTCTAAACCCAAGTTGATTGTCTCCAACGACTCTTTATACGGCTGAATGGTATGCTCCTCACGCTCGACCAACCGTGAAACCTCTTCTTGGATTTTAGTAAACTCCTCTTCTTCAGCCACATACATAAGATATTCAAAGTTGGGAGAGGGTGCAGGGTCATTGTATTCAACGGGTTTTTTATTTAATCTGCATATATGATTATGATTGATTTTAGAAACTGACTAATGTAAAAGTGATTGTGCTGATTTATTTACAATTATCAATTAATTTGAAAGTTTTTTCTGATTACCATTTTCCAAGAAAAAGTGAAAAAATAACACAATTGGAAATCAAAAACAACTTTTATTAATAATTTGAAAATCCAAAACAAAAGACATGCTCAGACAAATTACTTATAAATGTGCATGCAAGAAGGAACATGAACAATAATCCAATTTTGGACCGCCACTCCATGTGTCATGAAGTTTGGCATCTCTAGCTCTGGCTCATCCTCAAGGACAGCGTTGATCTTTAAAGTAGTTCGATAGAGATATCCTGCACTGCGGAAGATGTCTTGATATTTGATTAAAGCAGACTTCGACTTCAATACTTTACTTTTACCATTCTTCAAGGAGAAACCCAAACCAGACTGATTCTTATTCACCGGTGGATCAATAACTTTCCCCCATACATTGCTAGGGCCCTTCTGCACTACTTCTTGTGCATCTTTAAACAAAGTGATATAATCCTCATTCTTCCTTATATTATCAATTGACAAAGATTGGAACTAAGTCTAAACAATGGATTCATTATCTTCTACAATGCTAAAGGAAGACAAATGAGATATCAACAAAGCTTGCTCATTGTTTATAATAACCATTTTCCCTTCACGGACAAACTTCAACTTCTGATGCAACATTAATGTAACAACCTCGGCTTCATGGATCCAAGGTTGTCTCAATAAACAGATGTAAGCCGGGACAATATCCATCACTTGAAAATTAATATGAAACATGTGCAGACCTATGCGAATGGGTAAGTCCACCTCCCCAATAACATATTTTCTCAATCCATCGAAAGCTTTAACTATAATGCCACTAGGGCGCATGGGAGTTCCTTAGTACTTAAGCTTCATAAGAGTGCTTTTCGGTATGACATTCAAAGTAGAACCATTTTCTATCAACACATTGGACAAGGAGTCATTCTTACAATTCATAGATATATGCAGATCCATATTATAGTTTCTCCCGTCATCAGGCAATTCATCATGACAAAAGCTCAGATTGTTACAAGATGTGATATATCCTACAACCTTGCCAAATTGGTCAAGAGACACATCTCTTTCAATTAATGCTTAATCCAACACCCTCATCAGAGATTCCTGATGAGCAGAGGAGTTCATCAATAAAGCTAAGATGGAGATTTTGGATGGTGTCTGTAACAGTTGGTCCACAAACTTGTAATCACTCATCTTAATGATTTTTAACAAGTCATCAACATCTTTTTCCAGGTCAACACCACTAGATTCTCCTACCACCTTCTTAGGCTCAACATTAGTCTCAAAAACTTTCTTACCAAGGTCAGCATCTCCCCGAAAGGTATGAGCAAAGACACGACCAGTACGGGTTACCAGACAAGCCTCAGCAATATTCTCAACATGGGACAAAGGTAGGATTGGAATTTCCAAACCGTCTTTCAAGATAGTTACATTGTACTTATAAGGTACAACTTTATCTGATTCATATGGGATATGACCAGGTAGACAGATAACCACAGAAGTTACAACATGTTTGCTGCATTATGTAATCTCTACAAGTGTAGGAATGTCGAAATGGGGTACAATGACATTTACCCCCACCTCTTCGGAATGCTCAGGAATTATAGAATCATTGTCAAACAAATCACCCTCATACACAGGCTTAGACTTATCATAAGAAAAAAACTCATCAGCAAAAACATACTCATCATCATAGTCTTCAATCACATTAATATTTTCTTATTCAACCCTTGGTCTGATTATGTGAATAAGACCTTCATCCATCATCTCTTAGAGATCACCTCTCACCTTATCACATCCACGAATATCTTCACTGCAGACACTGCAAGCTGCATGGTTAAGTGTCTAATAGCTAAACTCACAGAGGCCAACATTCATTTTCACCAAATCACCTCTTACCCAATTTATATCATAAATATTGAAACCCCCAGTGTAATACCCCAAATTTGTCCTATCCTTTCATTTTTATCTGGCTTATGCATTTTTGCACTTTTCTCATGTACATTATTTCCATTAGGTCATACAATATATAATGCATCATCAATAAATTTAGTATGGGGTCAAGGATATTGAGGAATTAGGGTTCTCTATGCTTTTAGGCTCTCATTTTAATTCAAGGTTGAATCAACTGGTTTCTTCAGCAATCATGGTTGGAAGCTAGGGGTTCTAGGTGGTTAGAAGGTTTATGCAGTAATTTAGCTTGGTTTATCAGTTTCCTCCTTGAGCATAGATTGTGGAATTATGGATTCGGTCCTTTGCTTAAACTTGTTTATGGTTCATCAATTAAAGACTGGATTTAAGGTTTTCATCCCTATTATGCTTCAAATCTTAGTTCTTATCTTCAAGGATTTCTCAAGGAACTGTTGTTATGTTGGGTGGAAATCCAAATGCCAGTCATGGCGTAAGGGATGAACTTGTAGATTCAATTTGTTAAAGATATATTTATTTATTCTTTCAGTTGCTTCTGGCATGTAATACAAGATTACTTGGATTAGTGATTGAAGTTAAGGGTTCAAAATGATTTAGATTTAAAGACGATTCAAGTGATTTCGCAAATTTAAATTTGTGTTTAAAATTAATTGATTGGATCCAAGTTCTGAAGTATATGATTTGTCAAGAATTATTTCAAACTTGCTAAAGATAGAAGGTTCATTCATATGGATTTCTTGGCACCTAAGTTTCAAGACTCAAGTCATTCATCATCATTCAAAGTTCACCTTGATTAAATATTATTTGCAAAAGTGGTTTGAATCAAACAAAATTCATCCATTTTCATTCAAAACTACAAATACACAAGCTACAATACCAAGTCAGACTTTAACATTATCCATGCCCCATCCAATATCATCATGTCAAGTTCAAGTGAATTTTATCAAGACATTTCCATGGTTCATTCAAAACCAATGGAAATAAATTCAAATTCAATGTTGAAAGAAAAGAAATCCTTTGGAATATTTGAAGAGGTCGTTACGATTTTAAACCATTACACCATATTACACAACTAAGACGTCCATGAAATTACAAAGCTAAAATTATAACTTCATATCATCAAATTACATTTTCAACCTCAATTGTTCATACATCTTCATGTTTTCTTCTATCTCCAAAGTTGCTCCATGTGCAAATCTTCATCATGTCAAAATCTCCCTCATATACAAATCTTCCATGTGCTAAACTTTAATCACCTGTATTTATGCTTCAATCATGGTATGTGCATCGTCAAACTGTGTCCTTGCTGCACCAAAAAAAGGGGATATTGTATCTACCGAACTTGCTGCCACAGAGGAGAAATCATCATCACAAAAACCAGTTAGCCCAAAACTTACTCTACACATTGATATAAACCGCAACCCGCACATTGACTTCGAAATAGTCCATCATTTATTAAATCCAAGTCAGAGTTATAGATTGTCATCAAAATAGAAAGAAAAAAACATGAACAATTGAAACAGATTGAAATAGAGATTCATTTACCGTTTAAACATTGCAAGGCGGCCAACTCTGTTCACCAAACATTATGCCTCCCAAACCTTGACATCAAACTTGTCATGGCGGATTCTCTTGCTCCTGTCTAGAACAAAACTATGAGAATCTACTACAACATTCCAAACAGAATTTCCTAACCCTATTCATTCTCAAATTAACAAGTAACTGTAACATATCCATAAAAACCCCCTCTAACGACCTATAACAGAAAAACCGATCTGCAATGGTTCAATTCATCTAGTCCAAACTTGATTCACTTGAACCTAAACCTCAACTAACCATAACGAAGTCACTAACTGTAACTGTAACAAAAACTAAACAGAATTTTCTAATAGTTTTTCAACCCCTTCCCAACCAATTTCTATAACTAACATCTAATTTTTTTTAGCTTGGTCACAACCTCACTAAACAACAAACTAACAGCTTCAGTCCTAACAGAATTCTAACAGAAAAATAACAGAAAATAAAAACTGATTTCTAACAGTTTCTAACCATCTAACTAACCCCCAACTGTTTTTCTAAACAGAATTAACAAACTTTCTAACAGTTTTAACCAGACCTTAAAAATCTATATAACAAAATTCAGAAGAAATGAGGAAAAAAGTGTTCACATTTTGATTCACACGAAAATTCACAGAGAAAAAGCTAGAGAAAAACTCACCTTCAGAATCATTCTTCACCTTATAGAAGAATCAACCACCATTTTTTTCACTCATCAATCTTCACTCTCCCCATTCAGCTTCATCTCACCATTCTTCACAACAAGAAACTCACCAGAAAATCAAAGAGAATCCTTATCACTCTTCTCTTTCAGCAAGCTTCTCTGCAACTTAATCTGAAACTTCATCTCTCTCTGAAATTAGAGTGCTCTCATCATCTGTATCCTTTAACCACTTCAATCTTCTTGATTCTCTTTACCAAACCTCCAATGTTTGAAATTCATCAGTCTCCAATCCACAACATACTCCCTGCAACATGCACACTTCAGCAATACCACGCGACCTTGATCAAACATCAATTTCACTAACTATTCCGCACCACCGTGCAACCTCATCAACATCTTTACACCTTCAATCTTCGATCCTCCGTAACAATAATTTTGTAGAAGCTCTGAAATACATCATCGTTTTCACAGCAACTTGCAACAGTCCTCTTCATCAATAGAAAACACACAAATAGAGTGTAAATCAAGATCGAAAGATCACAGAAGCAGAAGAAAGACGAAGAACAAACAAGACAGTTTCGGTGCTCACCTGAGTTCGAATCACAAATCGAATTGAGATGAAGGCAGGCGCGACATGAGTAAAGGAGAAGTCAGTGGTAGAAGCGCCGAAGATCGCTGGAGAGGACTGGAGATGGTTAACGCCTTCGTTCAAAGAGAAGGAAGGGAGATGAAGTGTTATGCGTGGGATATGAAAAGGCGTAGTATTTTAACCCTAATTACATCTTCATGCTACCGTATATATTTGTTATTTTATTTGTTTTACAATTTCAATTAAGTGAATATGTGATGAAAAAAATCTGAATTGGATATGAAAAGGTTGAAATGGGTGGACCAGATCCCCATTATTGTGGCCCAAAATGGGCTTTTACTTTGCGGTGCCCTGAATTTAGTCGGCACCTCCTGAAGCTGCATTTCCATACTTATTTCAATCTCATTATTATTTAATTGCGGTGATTGAATTTTTTTGGTGGTATTGGTAAATAAAATAGATTTTGTTGAGGAGTTTCAAGAAGTTACAAAGTTAATTAAAAGCATAATTTTCATCAAGGGAATTCGAGGAAGCTTTTTAGTAGAGTTTCTTATTGCTTGCGTTGTTTTGAAGAGGTAACAGACCTTCTCAGTTATGTATCATCACAACTTCATTTTATTCCTCATTTCTACACTTTATCTCATTTCAGCACTTTACTACTTTCTAGATATCATAAGAAGTAGGGCTTTACTTATTTCCTTGCCATCAAAAGTATGGTAGAGATTTATGAAGGGGATCTTTGTTGGTGATCATGTCAGGAGCCCCTCTGGTTTATTTAGAGACCCGTTTAGGGAAATTCAGATTGTGTGCATTATGTATGCTATTTGTGGTTGTTTAAAACCCTACTTTTGAAGTAGGTATTCCGCACGTGCATTTATATTTTCATACGGATGATTCGGGGTGGATTACTCATCAACCGACTGACAAACCAGGAGATTTGTGGTTCATTTCTCTTCCTCTTTGTGTATTCTTTATGTGTTGAGTTTTTATATGTATATACTTTGAACTCATGTATATTTTTCTCCCATGGCGTTATATTAAACTTTCTTTATAAATCTTTATCGATTGTTGTCCTGGATTTTTGCTCTATGATAGGGATTTGAGTTGTTATAGACATAAACTACTTAGATTCTTATCTAGGATGATTATCTGTGAGTTTCTGAACTCTAGAGATATATTTAGAGCTGACATCTACTTGGGTATCAGAGCTTAATGCCTCTGTGTGGTTGTGCTGTGCTGAGAGATCTTCAATGCGATTACATAGTTGTCTTATATGTTGTTGAGGAGGTAGAGAGATCATTTCCTTGGTGATACAGTCGGTCTCTCGATTTGGGTTAGAAATGACTTAGGTTGTGAGTGATACATAGTGACATTGATGAGTATTGTTAGGTTAAATGTAACTGGTCGATAGATTTAAGTCCTCTATTCTAACACCTCGTCTTTGCACAAAGGGTGCAAGACAAAGGCATAGTCAAGAGAACCTCGTCTGAGTGTGATATCTCACGCCTCCTCACACTTGTAAAAGGGAAAAGAGATTCAACATGAGTATCTGTTCTAACCTATGTGTACAATTGCCTAGGTAATGGGCCTTTTACCTCATGTAACACCCACCCACAAAGAAACAACAAAATCCAACACAATAACAAAAACCAGTACATGGAAAGAGGTAAAATATAATGCATACATATGCTTAAATATATACCCGTTTTTGTTGATTTTCCCTAGGTCTAAGTCTTCCTTTTATAGACTTCAAGGGGCTGGATTTGGGCTTCAGAACAACAATTGATTTGTTGCAGAAAATTAGCAGAGACTTCTCCATGAAGACAGGGCTTCAATCAAAACCTTCCTAATTTATCTCCATAATTAGAAAGATAATATTCTTCTTGAATATTCCAGACCTTAAAATCAGTGCCACATAGGAATGCATAATGTTCTAGAATATTATGCATCTGTTAAATCTTAACCTGATTCAACAGTCCAGCGAAAGGAACCAGCGGAAAATCATCGAGAGAAAATCAATGAAGTTACCATCGAGTATTTATTTGTCCCACAGAAGGGAAAGGAAAATCATCAAAGAAAAATCTAAGAAGGGAGAAGTCACGATCTTACAGCCGAGAGATCAGGTACGGGAGTTGATTACGCAAGGGGAAGGTATTAGCACCTCTCACGTATATGGTACTCCACGGGATCCACTATTGTTGTTCTAATCAAAGGTTGTGTTCTATCTAAAGCTTACGAGATAAATGCACGAATGCAGAATGTATATACAAAGAAAAAAGGTTTTATTAGTCGTACATGCCTCGGTTGTAAACCTTTGTTCCTATGTACCCTCTCTGTGCAATGAGAGATCAAGATACTCGTAGTTCACCTTAAAAAAATTGGTTGGTTGCATGTTTTTTATGAACAATGATAATTTCACATTTCACCGCAGCTCTACCTTTGGAGACTCATGCATTATAGTAGAAAGGAATTAACATGTTCTTACCTAAAAATATTTTAAAAGAAAAATATATGAAGACAAAATGGTTTGCATTAGTTAGTGTTTTTTACCTTGAAAAAATATTTAAGTAATGTTAGAGTGTTTTGAATTTTTCTAAGAAAAGGAGTTTTTGTTTTAATTATGCAAAAGGGGAATGAAAAATTATAAGGGAGACTAACAATCCTAGTGTTGTCATACAATGGTGATCCTAAGGTTTGGATAACAAAGGGAAATATCTACCTAAGTTATCATGCGTGGATTACAATCCTAATGTCTACCTTGCATCACAAACAAAACAAGCGAATCCTAAGGGAACATGCAAAGGTCTAAAGAAAAACACAAATAGAAGTGCAATCGAACAAAGTCGAACCAAAACCAAAACAAAAATCAAGTGCGAGCTAGCAACAAACAATGAATCCAATGGATTTCAAAGTGAGAGTTAGGAACTCTTTCCACTTGATTTTATCAAACACTTATATTGAGTAATAAATTTAAGTGTCAACCTTTAAAGAAACGTGAGCTAACGTCGTCGAAACTAATGAAAAAGTGAGGGGTTGGTTACGAACCCTTTTCCACTTTATTGACTCAATGGACAAGAATAAGCACGGTTCAAAGCATCAACATATAACACGAGCTAAGAACGACACAAACTAGAAAGTGTGGGGGGCGGTTATGAGCCATTTGCTCTACTTATTGAATCGATAGCAAGCACAAAGTAAAAGCGGAAGGGAATTGCCTTCTTTGAGGACTTTAGCAAAATTGTCTCTTTTTGAGGTCTTTAAAAAAACACAAACATTGCCTCATTTTGAGGTCTTTGAACAAGCACAAATATTGCCTCCTTTGAGGACATTAAACATCATTTCCCACCTAAAGTAGGGACTCCCAAACATGCATCTTTATTCCTACTTCTCATGGTAAGTGTAATACAGTGGGAAAACTGACTTATTTTTGCATTTTATTGCAAATGTTGTAGATAGCAAGAATCGCCACCGACTTTTCTTTTATTAAATAAGGAAAGGGTAAAAAGAACAGGAAAGACCTTTTAAGATTTTTGAGGTCGGGGGGTAAGTTATGAAAAGGGAAGGTGTTAGCACCATTTTCATCTGTAGTTATCTATGGGCTCTTAACCGCTTAACTCACTTAGAAATTTTGCTTTTTGTGTGTGTGTGTTTGAAAAAATATTTTGGAAGTGCCAATGTAAGGCGAAACTTTGTAATGATTCTTGTATCGGTCCTCAAGAATACGTACAAAGTGTTTTGAAAACATTTTTGAGAGTGTAGTGTGATATGTTTTTTTTATAAGCAAGCGATTAAAAGTATCTACCCACTCAAGGTCGTTCTTGTCCTTTTCCTCCTCCTTTAGATAGTGATATTTGTACCAACAGTTATTAGGAAGCCCTACGTTGAATGTAAAGGAACAAGCGTAGGTTCATCATACAATCTTTGAAGACAACTTGTAAGGACGCTTTAGCAATTTCATAAGGGACTAGATCATTTATCAAAATGCAACATCAAAGGGTCATCGAGGGACTATGATCTTTGATTCGAGGGGCTTGGCTAAAGCGTCCCCACTTTCGAGGGACATGACTGTTTGTTTTTCCGAAGGAAATAGAGCGAGGTTACCCTATAGGTGCAAGTATGCAAGTGTGTTGATTCAATTATTTTATCTTTCATTAGGGTTTTCTAGCATTTGATTATTATCTTGCCATACAATCCTATTAGCTAACCGTTATATATACATACAAGGTATACAAAGCATAAGCGCAAGAAAATAAAATGCGGGAAAGTAAAGACCTACAACTATTACATGGCTTTGGGAGATTTACAATATTTACCACTTTGCGGGAATTTAAACGTTAAGCTATTACAAAAAACTCATGTGACCTATACAATCATTTCTAAGAAAATAAATGGCAAAAGTAAACAAAAATGTTTGCGAAATTATTTTTTAAAGTCTTAACATCTAAAAGATTTGAAATTAAATTTTTGTGTATTTTTTAGTTTGATTTGAATAATAAAATAAATAGATTTTAAACCTGAACTAAGTACTTAATTAATTAACAAAAAAAACCTATGTCTAATTAATGAATTAAGAAAAATATTGCCTAAAATTAAATTAATCCATTAAAAGTCTAAATCTGATTTTTATTATATTTTTATGATTTTTTTATTAAAAAATTAATTAAAAGAAAATATAAATTAATTAACCAAAATAAAAAGGAAAAATAGGAAGAAAATTATAAAATGGATAAGCCAGAAAAAAGGGTTGCAGGCGTTGGGGCGTTCATCTTCACATGTGATCACCTCAACCTGTTCTAAATATTTACATATGAAGATCTGAATGATTAGTAGCTATGAAACATACATGAAATGAAATATTAAAAAAAATAAAATTTTTACCAATCGGAGAAAGTAGTTGGACTCGTTTTAGGTGGTGAATTAATTGGGTATGAGTCTGAAAATGTTTCTCAGACCTTCAGGAACTGACTGTAGACCTTGGATCACTTTGAAGTTGCTCAGAATTTGAGAACCGATTGTGAAGCAAAGTTGAATATTTTTTCACTTTGAAACTCTATTCTCTTTCCAATCTTTTATTTAGCATTTGAGTGTTGTGTGTATTTATAAAGGAAGGAAAAGACCAACCAAACATGGAAAGAATCTTGCATACTTATGGCATAATTCATTTCAAAAGACAAATTGAAAGCTTTTCAAAACAATGAGGATATTCTTTCATAAGAGTGTCACACGGTTTTGGCATGCTTTTCATGTGTTCCTTGGGCCTCAAGCTTATCCAACACCAAGCCTACAAGTCTTAGTCCATTAGTTTATCATTTTATTTGATTTATTTTAATAATATTTGCATAAAATTAAAATAAATTAAATAAAATAATAATAAAAAAACATG